GGCGGCGGTGACGGAGGGCGCGATGCCTGTCGGGAACGCGGGAGGGATGGAGGGAGGGGACCGATCGCCGCGCCGCCATCGAGTCCGCGCGGGCGGGAGGGCGGCGGCCGCGGGAGGCGCCACCCTGTCGCTGGGGTGCCGCCCTGTCGCTGGGGTGCCGCCCTGTCGCTGCGGTTGTGGGACATGGCCGGTGCTGCACAAGGAAAGGCGTCTGGGCGGAAATCCGTCCCCGGCGGCTTCGCTGCCTGCCCGGGGCGGCTGGCAGGGCCGTGCGCAGCCATCGCCTCAACGGCACAAGGGACAACAACGACAAGCTGTTGCATTACCAGATTAGTAGTTAGCTCTGGTCTCTACAACAAATTCTTCAGGCATTTATTTCCCACTTAGTGTTACTCAAAAACCGCTCAGAAACCTGAGTCTGTCCTGCTAGTCAGCAGGGCCTAAGTGACCTACTAGGGTCCATTTCAGTTCAAATTACTTCGTAAATCTATATTAATTTCATATGACTCGGGACATCATTTTTAAAGCTAAAATACCACTCTGAGGGAGTGCCTGTGGAGACAGGCACTGAGTATTAGATGAAGGTTTGATTAAGGGATCTGTAATGGAGGTATTTTTATCACAAAAAAGCAGTCCAAGTCAGACAGGTAAACAAAGTAGTAGTGAAAGGTCTCACTGATACAAGGAAATGATCACCTACTTTGCAACTTAATTTACTTATTGCAATTTACAATGATTTCTGAATATTGCTTAATAATACTTCTTGCCCTGACTGGTCTGTGGAAGCTTACCAAGGGCTACAGTGCTCATCAAAACAAAGCAGTTTTCTGTGGAAACTTACCAAGAATTACTATGTTCAGCAAAAATAGGTTTCTTATCCTTGGAAAGCAGATGTGCTCTGTAATAAACTATTGTAACTAATTTGCTAAGTTAAGCAATAAAGGTAATGTAATAAACTATTCTAACTAATTTGCTAGGTTGGGCAGGGTGGGTATGATAGACTTGAATTATCTGTAAATGTTAAACAATAAAATGTAAAGTGTGCCATTCAGATTGGAACAGTGTAACCCAGAAACCCCACCTAGAGCTGACATGTAACTGCTGTTGGAAGAAAAGCCCCCCCAAAAGATGAGATCATGAGGCTTTTAAAATATCCAATAGGAGATTGGTTAAAGACGATGGCACAAGAATATAAAAAAGCACTGCTTTTTGGAACTCGGGGTGCGTGTGGCAGAGTTGTGGCTCCCCATGCACCCAGCGCTGCTTTGCCTGTTGCTTCCCACCCTAAATCAATTGAATCCAAATAAAACTATATATTTTTATAAAAATTGGCTTTGTCTGATTATAACAATTTGATGAATCTGACGTGATCTCAGTGTGCTTTCCTGGACTGTGGCTTCTTGAGGGGCGCCCCACAGATTGTGGCTCGAAAGTAGCAGTCTGGGTCAGTCTCCAGAGATCAACGGACAAAAGAGAAGCAATAGTCAAAGGAATTGGAGCTCCAAAGGAAGGACTGAAGTATAAAATACCCATAATTCTGGTGCACGAAGGCCCGAACGAAGACGACAGTCATGAGTATAAGGGATACCGTTCGATTAGGTGGGATTCGATTGCTTGTGTGTGAGAGTGTGATTGAGATGGAACCTAATTCTGGAAACGAAAGTAGTTTCAGAGCCAGGATTTGAGTTCCGAATCGAGTGTGGAGGTCTTCTAACCGCGGTTCCAAACTCCCATGAGGGATTTGGCCGGTGAAGGACCAAAGAGGATCCTATAGGACTCGTGGGTGGGAGCACAGGTTCTAGGGGCATGTGGGTGGGTAGAGCGTTCAGCCCCCCCTGCAAGACACTCTTACTGGTAACCAAGGGCGAGAGAAATTGCAGTAGAAAATTCCCAGGGCAAGAGGAATTGCCTTAGAAAATTCCCAAGGTATACGTGGGTGGGTAAGAGATTCAACTCCCTGGATCCAACCCCCTACAAGGGCTGTAGGAGTTGCCACAGTAAAACTCCTAGATGTGTCAGAAGGAATCAAAAACCCGGGACGAGAAAAAAAAGGAGTAAATTACTGGATATACCACCACATAGTCCATTAAGCATAATGATTAGAAATTGGAATGAAAGAGGTCCTAGAAGAGGAAAAAGTAAATTTAGTCCAGTATTGCATAGTTAAATGGCCGAAGGCACCTTTAAAACCACATGTCTTCTGGCCTACTTTTGGATCTTTTGAAGACTGGATTTGCCAGACTTTAAATACATATGTTTACTCAAAAAAACCCCTTTTAGTCAAGAAGAAAGCCATTATGCGAAATTGTGGATCAGGACTTCATGTCCTTATCCAGCTTCAATACTTACACTAAAAAAGGATGAAAAATCTGAAGAAAAAAAAGGGGGATAAGAACAAGGAAGGGACAGAAAAAGTTGATAAATGGGAACCACTAGATAACTTTCCGCCTCCATAGTTTAATTATCCGGCCCTGGCTGCTTTGACTGCTCCGGCGGCTTTAACGACCCCAGCGGTTCCCCTTCTACCTCCAGCTGCATGTACAAGAAGTAAAACTGCCGTAACTGAGGGAGCTTCTCTATATACATTACGGGAGATACCCCTCGGAGGCAATCAAGGAGGCATCGGATTTGTGGCAGTCCTGTTAGACACCTCTGATATCCGAAATTTTAAGAAAGAGATGGGGACTCTATTAGATGATCCTCTCGGAGTAGTTGAGAGGTTAGATCAATTTTTAGGTTCCAATACTTACACTTGGGAAGAAGTACAGTCCATTTTAAGCATCTTTTTTACGACCGCGGAAAGGCAAATGATTAAGACAAGCCGGAATGCGTTTGTGGGAACTGCAAAATAAAGCAGGGCCGCCGGCAGATCAGAAATGGCCCAGTGTCTGCCCTAATTGGGGTCATCAACAAGAACAGGCCCAAAGGGCCAACAGAATATGAGGGACCTTAGAAATTTAACAGTGGCCGGCATTAGAGAAGCAGTTCCTCGGGGGCTAAACATTAATAAAGTCTTTAGCGAACATCAAGGGAGAGATGAACCACCCATTGATTGGCTGGAAAGATTAAGAAAGAATTTACGAATGTATTCAGGGGTAGACCCGACACGCCCGGTGGGAGAGGCTTTATTAAAAACTCAGTTCGTAGCCAATTCGTGAGGTGCCATCAGGAAAAAGTTAGAAAAAGTAGACAACTGGCAAAACCGGCGTCTACAGGAGCTATTAAAAGAAACACAGAAAGTGTATGTTAGGAGAGACAAAGAAAAGCAGACAACAAAGGCTAAAATATTTGTTGCAGCAGTCAGAGAAACCTTCGAGATCTCGTTCTAATGGATTTACCTGGAGCTTTGGTTGGTGAAAAGAAAGGGGCGGTAATTAGCGAAAACGAATTAGCATGCTATTATTGTGGAAAGAAGGGACACTTACAGCAGAATTGTAGAAAGCAGGAGCAGGATAAAAGGATGTTTAAAGAAGAATAAGGGAGTCGGGAGCTCTATTTTCTGGGAACAAAGACGTCAAAGGAGCGCATGCTAAAATGAAATCTCCAGAGAGAAGAGTTTGGATTTTTAGTAGATAGGGGTGCAGAAAAATCAACTGTAAAAAATATTCTGAGGGGATTTATTATTGCTACCGGAAGCTGAAATAAAAAATAATAGTACAAGAAAAAAAAATAATAA